AGATAAACGTAATCGTTAGGAGGGGGACCGCTCACGATCTCCTCCTCTATTCTAATTCCGTCAATCATCCGCAACTGCAACTGTTTCTTCTCTTCAGAGCTCGTGCTCTATTTGATCTTGATTTTGATCTTTAACTTGTCTTGACGCATATTTGATTTTGCCACACCCGCCACCAGGTTTCCCTCCCCTCCTAACTTTTCCTCTTTCCAGCGAAATGCTTTCTACTCCGCACCGCTTGGCTTTTGTGTTTTTGGCTTGAAACGCTTGGCTCTAATGGCTTTTGATTGATTATCGCGTGCCATGGTCGGGCTCCGCTTCGATCTCTGTGGGTGCTACAGTGCTCCATCTCCAGCTCTGGATTCAGCTCCAGGTGGTGTCTCTTGGCCCACGATCGAATCTCTTCTTTTGTTGGCTTTCATTTGAAGCTCTGCTTAATTAGCTCCGATATATGTGTGTGCTCCGCCTTGTTGACTCTGTGCACGTGCTGTGATCTCCCTCCGATCACCGCCAGACATTGACTGCTCCTCCATGTGATGCGAAGTGATGTGATGTGATGTCAGTTCCTGGTACCAGAAACCACTCGGGGAAGGCATGAGTGGGCACATCGAATCGGTTTTGGAGAAGTTCAAAGTTGAAGTGTGTTGGACAAGGGGGAGGAGTGGGTTTGGGGAAAGGGGGAAGACTACGTGACGCATGGTGGTTTAGTTGGGGATTATGGAAAGGGGTTACAGGGTATCAAAGTACTTCTAGGTAAGGTTTTCTTTTATTTAAACTATTTAATATAATATATAATTTTATTTTTATAAATCTTTAACAATCTGTTGACTTACTTAAACCTGTAAACAGTCCGAAAATCATTTACCTTTATATTTAATCACATTAAAAACCATGTTACTTAAATCTAACGATTATAGGTTTAAAAAAGAAACCCCCACAGTTTAATTTTCCAAGTCTTTCCAAATCTCTTTAATACCTTTCCTTAGCCAAAAAGGCCTTAGCCTCACAAACTTTGGCAAAATTGCAACTAAAACTCGCCAGCAAGTTGCATTAATTTTCCATTAAGACCATAGATAATCTTGGCCATAATATTACTTCTTCTCTTTAGGCCTGGCTCAAAACTTTCCACTCATTATGAATGTAAGTTGACAATCTCAGCCATCAAATGACTCTCTGACTTTCCAATCTCATCACAATAATGTCCTAGTCCTGGTCCTGGTCAAATCTCAGCAAATGTGCTGTCAAAAAATTGTTATTCAACTGAAAATATTGTTAGAGGAGGAGGCAGTGTGTGATTCCCCTGGGGTTCGGGGTTACTTAACTGCCAGAGTACATATGTCAACACCATGAACTTGAAACCCAGGGAACTTGACTGGACCCCGGGTGCAGGAGTTGCCTTTGTTGCATTTACCTCGGAAAAGCATTTTGTATTCTAATTAGATTGTCAGCGGCACGACAACAACCTCATTTTGCCTTTTGCAAAATGCCTTTTCACATTTGCATTAGCGCCAACGTGAGGAGAGAAGACAAAAATCTGCATAAACTTTGGACAGTTGCAACAGGAAACACTGGAAAGAAATTCTTAAAGAGATACAAATTTAATATAAAATATTTAAATTCTTTGTTCAAGTTTTAAAACATGATTTAGTAAATAGTTGGTGCCTTTTTTTTAGGTTACTTTTTTATAAATCAATATAATATACAACTTATAATATATCGATATAATTATACTTAGTTCGTATGAGCTATTTTAAAATTTATACATAATGTCAATATTTTTCATAAAAATGAATGAAAAAAAGAAAGGGAATTAATTACGAGAAACTAAAGTATATTTAAACATTTGCAGTTGCAATTGAATTATAGAATCGAATCGAAAATCTATTATAACTAAGCTTAAAATTTCGCATTTTTGAATCCATATTTTTATATGATAATTTTTTGATAATGATAATTTATCAAAGTTTAAAAAACTCATAAATAAGCAAAAAATGCATTAATTTTTATTCGGAAAGCTTTCCCATGATCGTTTTTATTAGGTTAACAAATCTGCATACTCAATTTAAAATGTAAAAAAAATAAAATTTTTGGTAATTTTTTTAACATTTTAAGAATGAAAAATTTGGATAAAAAAATTGTTTCAAAAATGTTCTTCCAAAGATGGCTAGATTGACTCGGCTGCTGATGCTGATCAAGAATATATATGATTTATAGGGTCGGAAATGACTCCTTTACTGATTTATAAGCTTCTGCTTAAAATTATAATACCATATTATATCTATTTTTACTCAAATTTTTGCTAAAAATCAAATTTTAAAAAATTCATAACAAAGCCAAAAAAACGTTAATTTTAGTTCGAAAAGCTGTCCCGAGCTAGTTTTTATCACGTTTACAAATCTGCATACTCAAAGAAAAATGTTTGTAAATGAAAATGACTGAAATTATAATCCCATTCTTTGAGTAGGTATTTCTTATATTTTTATGCCAACTTTTCCTGAAAATTAAATTGAAAAAAACCCATAACTAAGCCAAAAATGCATTGATTTCAATTCGGAAAGCGTTCCTATGCTAGTTTTTATTGGGTTAATAAATCTGCATATTCAGTTTTTAATTTTGAATTGAATTGAATTGAATTTTTTGCCAATTTTGGACAATTTTAATGATGTAACCCCTTATCATTTATTGGAAAAATGGAAATAATTTTAAAAATTTGGATTTCTTCCAGACATGCCTAGATCGACTCAGCTGTTGATGCTGATCAATAATATATATGATTTATAGGGTCGGAAATGATTCCTTCACTGCTTTACAAGCTTCGGACTAAAGTTATAATACCATATTTTATCTATTTTACGCCAATTTTTGCTAAAAATCAAATTTTAAAAAATTCATAACAAAGCGAAAAAAGTGTTTATTTTAATTCGGAAAGCTGTCCCGTGCTAGTTTTTATCACGTTAACAAAACTGCATACTCAAAGAAAAATGTTTGTAACTGGAAATGACTAAAATTATAATCCCATTCTTTGAGTAGGTATTTTTTATATTTGTATGCCAATTTTTCCTAAAAATCAAATTGAAAAAAAAACCCGTAACTAAGCCAAAAATGCATTGATTTCAATTCGGAAAGCGTTCCTATGCTAGTTTTTATTGGGCTAATAAATCTGCATACTCAGTTTTTAATTTTAGAAAATTGAATTTTTTGCCAATTTTTGACAATTTTAATGATGTAACCCCTTATCATTTTTTGCAAAAATGGAAATATTTTTAAATTTTCGATTTCTTCCAGACATGCCTAGATCGATTCAGCTGTTGATGCTGATTAAGAATATATATGATTTATAGGGTCGGAAATGATTCCTTCACTGATTTATGAGCTTCTGACTAAAATTAGAATACCCTTAGGCTATACAGATCAAGAGACTATATTTCTATGATTAATTTAATTTAACCTTTGTTTATTAATTTATTTATATAAATAACTTTGTTGATTTAGTTATTTATTCTCATACATTTTCCTAATTTTCCTCGCAGTGCCTTGGAGTAGAAGTGCTTGGCTTGAAGTTCATTAACATGCACAGGTTAATTACCGTTGTTGTTGGTTCCCCGCTCAAGGAAATGAGCCATTAGAGGAGGGGCAGGCCTTAGCTTTGGCTTAAGCTCAAGTTTTTTTTTAGGAGACACTGGAGCGCCGCCGCAGTAGCCAAAAAGCCAAAAAGCCGGCGATAAACCTGGCTAAAAGCATACATAAAAAGACACATGTTAAGTGTGTCGGCGCGGAGGGATTAGTAGGAGTAGGAGGATGGACGGAGGCGGGGGCGGAGGGACTGTGACAAATGCTGGTGAGCACAAGGAGGTGGACGTGGCTTTCCTCCTCCTGGCCAACATGCAAAATGTTGCACTGATAAGAGACACAAAGCCAAGGAGTCATCCCGTTTGCCAAACGCTTCCATTGCAGCGCCGTTTTCTGTTTTGCAGCGGTAAATGAGCATCCCGGGCACGATCATTAAAACAAAAGCGGTTGCCAAGGAGCCATCACTGACAAGCCATGACCATGAGGAGCAATGGCCAGGAAAAAAAGTAGGGGAGTATGTAGGATCTCTCGACTTTATAGTACTTGGTAGGTGGAAAGTAGTTTTAGGAGGTTTATTTGGGGTATAATAATGCTAAAGATTGTAGTAATCAGACTGTAAAGATGATACTTTTCAAGTTCTCTTGGGCTTTGCAATAATTCTCAACTATTTCTGGCTTTTAAGATTGTTTTTCACATTGTTTACTTACATTTTTGACCAGTTCCATGTGTGTTCTTATCCTATTACAGCACTCTAAGAAACTTAAAACTTAGCAAAATAAATTCTTAAACATATTACCTAATGTAATGAATATACCCTCCTTCTTTTTCCACCTATAGGGTATCCAAAATACGAGAGTAGAACAACTGTAAGGTAGCTACCAGGCTTTAGACTTCTCTTCTGGTGTTGGATTGCCTTAAACGATCCGCGTGAATAACTAATTTCAATGGAGTCTGGTGTGCCTGTGCCTGTGCCTGTGCCAGTGTTCCTTCCCGACATTTATCACCCACCATCGGCGCAGGAGCTCCTCAGGCTGAAGCCTGTACCGGTAGCCCTAATCCCAGAAGACAATGGGGACAGTTCATTTATTTTTTGTTTTGTTCGCTCCTCTGGCAGTCTGTTGAAGACAATAAAAAGTTAGTGCCCGGTACTCTTTTGCGTAGGACATGGACAGAAGGAAACGCATCCAGTTCAGGGATTCAGCCTTAATGAGCTGAAATGGGACTAGGAAAAAAGGAGCTTTGGTCGAGATAAGTTTCCTGCACAACGAGCCAAGTGAGCCTGTTTTTTTATACCCATATAGTATATGTTAAAACGCGATGATCTATAAAAAGCAGCAGGAGTTGAGCTTAAACAGAGATCTCATCTTGTTGATAAGATCTATGAAGATGTAAGGGCTAGTTCTTGTTCTATTTACATATGAAAGTCTCCGGACTTTAAGCTGGTTTTCAGTTTATTCACATTATAAGGTTCTTGCTTATTATTATTTAATTAGACTATATTAGACTATTTCCTAGCCAGATTCAAGGCAGTGGGCCTGGTAAAGTATATAGTACTCTGCTTATCCGACGTGATGGCCACCAGGATATTCTGTGATTCACATACCGAATTGTACAAATAGGCTTCCGTAAAGGAGGTGCTAGCATGACCATAATTCGTATATTGATGAGGAGCCTGATTGACTGTGACCAGTTCAAAGGCCTCCAAACAGCTGTCCTTATCCCTGTAGTTCTCATTGTAGTAAGCAAAGGGTATAAGATTGGTGTTGTTGTGCGGCGTTGTGATCTGACCAATCAAGTGACGCTTCACCTGCCTACTGGTCACATTGTCAAGATCCTCCTGCGGCTCTGAGATGTAACCCCTAAAGTCAGATCCATTGATTTCCACATCCAAGTAGTAAATGGCATTGCTGATCAGCGGGAAGTCATAGTTGAAGCACTTGTAACCAATTCCCTCGCCACCAAAGGTACTGCAATCGAAGTCGTCTCCAGGCTGGGCACTCGTTGCATCCCAAATGGAGAACAGGACCGTGAACTTGGAGCTCTTATCCCAGTTCTGCAATCCTACATAGCCACTCGATTCGCTGGTATAAAACTGCATAAAATTGTAAATGCCATCGTTGCGGGGATTTGCACTGGCCATCCACTGAAAGATGCCCCTAACGCCAATGAATCCTGCATCCTGGTATTGGATAATGGTCCTGGCATTGCCTAGAATATCATTAAAACGCGTGGATTTTAAATTCTGCTCTTGGTGTAGAACCTCCATGAACCTGGCCATGTCATTCTCGGCCTCTTCCGGAGTTGGATGTGCTGACTGGACTTTAGCCAGGCAAAAAGCCAAACTAACTAGGAATAATAGTGTTAATTTCGTAGATGCACCCATGTTGAACTTGAATTGACTTGTGAGTCTTGTCCAGAACAGTCACCTCATTTTATATGTGATCGATTTATTGAGTGTTTATTTGTGATAAAGCGATAAAGTGATAAAGACAATGCATTTTGCCTTGCGCCATCCTCTTGGATTGATAAGAGATAACTCAATTGGCTGAATTCTGAGGTAACTCAATAGGCAACTCGGTGGAATTGATTAATTATGATTATGAAACTGGGAATTAAAGTAAACAAGTTTTTAAATAATATATTATTAGAACTAATATATTATAAACTATTCTTGTAGTAGTTTATAATATAAAGCTGTTTCTTTTATTGCCAGTGTCTTTATCTCTATCCAATTTGCTGAATAATCAGTGTTTAATAATAAATATAATATATCATTTAATACCCACACTTTAAAACCAAAGACTTAAACCTAAAGTATAGCCTTTGAAGAGCTCTTTCCACTGATAAAAGCCAAGTTAAAAAGGAAGCTTTTATTTATTTACTCTAACTATTATGAAAGCCACAATCTAGAGGCATTAGCTCAGGGCTCAAATATTGACCCACAAAAGTAGTGGGCTAAAAAAATTCCACTCGGATCAAGGTCCGTAACCCGGAGCTAAGGTTTGCCCTCTAAAAAAAGCAGAGAGGGCGTCCCGAGTTCAAGTCATAACTCAGCGATCTCATCCTCATCCTCATCCTCATCCCAAAACCGATCCTCATCCTTTGGACCCCTCTTGGCAGTCAGAGAACGTAGCACTAAATCAAGCCCACATGGAGTTTGGGACCAGCATTGGTTGTTCCCTCTCCTTTTTTTTTTTTGTTTTTTTGACAGTTTTGCGCACAGTAGCAGTTGCAGTTGAAGTGGAAGTGCCAGACCCTAGAAAAAATACAAAAAAACAGTAGCAAAGGGGAAATAAACAGGGAGAAATTGCAGTACCTTAAACTTAGAATTGATAAGGTAACATATAATTAAAGGTAACACATAGGCTTATAGAGTTCTTGCTCAAAATACAGCATCCAAACTTTCAATTTAAACCCATTTATAAAGTATATATTTCTGTATTAATCCCAGAAACTCTCATCGTTTTTTGTGAAGTGCATCGAACCTAGCTAGCCACAGCATCATCCTTGCCATCATCATCATGTCCAACTGTGGCATGATAAACGCAAGCTGGGCAAAGGTAGAGCCAGAGCCAGAGTCAGAGAGAGGAGCAGAGGCACCCCGGCACCCCTGAACATGTGTTGCCTGTCGAAGATCCAGGCGAAAAGCGACCCACAGCCTCGTCCATGGTGTCCATGGTCAGGCTAGATGCTAGGCTAGCCAGCCTTTTTGTGTGTTTTTGTTTTGCTTCACTGGAACTGGCACAACCTTTTGGGGGCGCTCACATAAATTTTAAATATCCGCCAGAGATGCGCCTGGGAGCAGGGCTACCATATTTGGTAGCCACCAGCTCCACCGGGAAATGCAGTTTTTAACCATTTTTATTGACCCCAAAAAGGTAGGGGGCCCAAAAGGTATTGGCTCATTAGGGCGCATCGGGGCGTATGAGTAATGCAGCGCAATTTGCACGCCTTGAAAGGATTAATTCGTTAACAATTTTTCGCCGCTGTAATATGCAAGACAAAACCAATAAATCTATTAATTAAGCCGACATTTGTTTAGCATCTGTTGCGATTTCCCTCTTGCTCAGCGCAACTTGTGATAAATATGACCAGTTCTTTGGCCAAAAGAAAAAAATAACAGTCTGGGGTCTTTGGTTTCCGAATGGATTTTGCTGAAATTTAAGACAGTGGGTGGTCCGGATTGGTAAATGTTTTTATTTTTATTTCGTTGTTTAGGTTGAAGCTGAATGAATCAACTGGAAGGGTACTGTGGGGTAGGATTACTTTGTTTTGAATTATATTTTAAATCTAATTTTTTTAAATGTATGAGTTTAATTTGGTTCTATACAAATTCATTGTCCAACTATGTTACTTATCCTAATTTTATATATAAGCTCGTTTTATTATTAATAAATCTTTGTAGGGCATCAAAATTTCACTTTGTATAAAGTAAGTGGCAACACCAATTTTCAAATATAAGAAATTTAAATTAACTGAATGATAATCAAACCAATTTACAAAAAAAGGAAAGATATCTTTTTGAATTATTGCTTAAATCATTTAATTTTTGACCCTGGAAGGCTGTAAGCCCTGTTTTTCTCTTCTTTTTTGTAAGCGTACTAATAGTGTGACCTTATTTTACATGTATGTCTGGCAACTCTGCATTAATTTTCATGAATTTATTACATAAACAGAGTTAATTCAAAGCTTAGCCATTAAAATTATTTACTTATGTTTATTTAAGATATATATCCTTAATTTCTAATTTATTTATATATTTTATATTTATTATTTATGTGCAACATATATTTCTAAATTATATTTATTAAGTAAGCCCCACCGTGCACACACACAGAGTTAATCAAAGCTAAGCCATATAAATTATTTACTTATCTTTATTTAAAATATATATCTTTAATTCCTTATTTATATTTATTTAGTTTATATTTTATATTTATCATTTATATTCATAATATTTTTCTTAATACTATTTTATAAGTAAACCCCACTGTGCTGGACACAATAAACCAATTGCCGACAAGGAACAACCTGGACTCTGGCGAACTTCTGTGGCCGCGTGGTGTGTATAAATTTGCCAAATTAAAAAGCGACAGTGACTCCAAGAAGGTTTTTCCGGGGAAGTCGACGGTAGGAGGGGGTTTTTTCTTTGAGATCGAGAGTTGTGAGTCCAAAAGCCACCCACCGCCGCCCCCAGATGACGCAACAGGGTGCCTGTCGCAGGCGTCTATAAATAAAGCAGCCGCCAGAGTAAATCAAAACAAGGCACGAACATGTGGCGCTTGCTTCAGCTTCAGCTCCAGCTTCAGTTCCAGCTTCAGCTCCAGTTCCACCTATCCAGCTTCCATAGCTCCAATCTACAGGATCAAGTGGGCCGACTCCCGGGTATCCCGGGTGTGGTCGCACAATCGGATTGGTTTGGGATTTTGTGGATTTGTCATCCCCCATCTGGGACCATAAATTCGTTACGCATTTTCCAGCACACAATGTGGCCATAATGTTCCCGATTTCGCTTTTGATCTGGCCCGTTGTCAACATCTTATTCCCGATCCTGACATGATTGATTTTTCATGTTCCCAAGCGAAGTGGTGGAGCTCCTCTGAGGTCAGTTTTGGGGACTTTCTAAAAAATATGTTTAGTATTTTGCACAATCTTCGCTAAAATGCCAGGTGTACACGGGAAAAATAAGGATTTTATTTAGAGAAAATGAGTTTAAACTTGTAAATTAAGAACTTTTAGGGAGTATTAAGAAGCTTAGCTTATTAAAAGGTTTTAAAGGAGTTAAAGGTAGAGGTTTTACAAGAGAGAAATGGTCTTATAGTGTATCAATATCATTAATCAATTAAATATAATAATATTTTCATAACATTTTGAAGAAAAATATTTAAATATCATGACATATTTATATCATTTCATAGAAAAATACTCTATTAGCATTGCTTATTAATAACATTTCATAAAAAAATAGTTTGTAAAATATTTAAATTCTCAAAATTTCCAAAGTAAATCCATATTTTTCTATGTGTTTCAAATATTCCAAGCATTTTTTTCGTGAAAGTAATGCCAGCAGAGGCTCGAAACTTCAACTAGAGGCTACGGCAAAGTCTTTGAACATGGTTTTTAAGCCATATTTGGTCGCAAAAAAAAGAAAAAAACCATATCCATTCACACCTTCCACCGTTAACTCAATTTGGCAGCAAACATCAAATTCTGATGGCAGTAAAAGTGCCTTAAAACGTTTGTAAACTTAATTTATTGTGTGTATGTGTTGCACAAATTAGTTTGTTTGATATGGCCGAGGAAAAGATCTAAAGAAATCCGAGGAGATCCAAGGAGATCTGAGGAGATCTGAGGAGTTCCTGAGGAGCTCGGAGGAGCTCGGAGGAGAGATCCAAAGTGCCTTGGGGCAAGAATCGTCGCTTAGTGGAGCAATCAATCCACTATATATGGTTGGTAACTGGGGAAATCACTTAAGACGATTTCATTTGGCTTTATGGCCGGCCCAAAATCGGTGGATGTGTGAGAAAACTGTGTGTGCTTTGCGGAAAAACTAAACTAAGGCAAAGACGACGAGACGAGAAAGAATTGGGCTGGGAAAAAGTTATTAATATGGGTCGATTGGCCTGAAGGCTCTAGCCAGCTTTTCTCCTTTGGGTTTTCTTCTAGCTGCAGAGTTTTGCTTCCAATTTTGGTAGCTTGATTTGTCACGATGCTTTTTTCCTTTTTTTATTTATTTTTTGCTTACTTTTGCGGTTTCGGTTTTTTGTTGTTGCAACTGGGAGAAGACAAACAAATTGGTCTGTAGTTGAAAATTGACAAGAATTTCGTGACTTTGTCACCTCTTTTTTCCCTTTTTTTGTTGCGGCGTCGAGGAGATCTTACAACGCCCTCGAAGGCAGCAGGAGCTTTCTTTCCTTGTGGCCTCCACTTCCTTCGCTTCGATGCACTGAACCCTCTCCTTGCCACTCCACTCCACTCCACGCCGCTCCGCTCGTTAAGTGGCAGGCAGCGCGTGCGCATTGAAGTCGCTCCATCCGATCCGATCCAATCCCCGCCAGAGTTGGCTGCGGCCCCCGCCCCATGGAAATCACTTCATCATCGGACATTGCGGGCCATTCTAAAGTCAAAAGCTCTGCGACTCTGCACAAACTCTTGTCAGATTTATTTCTTGCTTTTTGGTTTTTTGTCTTTTCCGCTGCCGGTGTTTGTTGTTGGGGTTTTGTTTTTTAGCCAAGTTGGTTAGGGTATTACACTGAATTTGATTTAAAAGTAGAATTTTTAAGGTGTTTTTAGGTTTAATTCAATGTTTAAATACATTTTTTGATACAATTTTATGCCTTTAAATCTGTTTTGTAAAGGTTTATATATATTTTCTAAAAATGAAATA